TTTGTTCCTTGTAGCCTCACACTATCAACCCTATCAAACACAACTGGAAGCAATGAGACCAGAGTGACAGGCTAAGCTGACAGCGACAGCCACCTCAGAGGACACCACATGCACTGTGTCAAGAAGTTCCTCAACTTGCTGCCAGCACATCAAACTTCCTTTGCAAACCTATACTGAAACAAGGGTTGTGGAGGGTAGGGGCACACTGGTGCACAGGGCACAGGGCACAGGTATGCCTTCTCTTATTCCTCCCATCAAACCCAAGAGTGGCTGGTCACTGTCAGGCCTATCTGACAGAAAAAATAATGAAAGAAAACACTTTAAAACCATCAATCGCCGGGAGTTGGTGGCGCACACCTTTAATCCCAGCAGTGGGGAGGCAGAGGCAGGCGGATCTCTGTGAGTTCGAGGCCAGCCTGGTCTCCAGAGCAAGTGCCAGGATAGGCTCCAAGCTACACAGAGAAACCCTGTCTCGAAAAACCATAATAATAATAATAATAATAATATAAATAAAAAATAAAACCATCAATCCCTGTCTTCATACCACAAACACTTCCAAACGTTTGGCAGGCCCAATATTTAATAACACAATGACTGCCTTAATTTAAATTATGCAAAATATGTTCTGCCTATCTAAAGATATCAGCATACTTAAGCTGGAAGCACTGATGAACCTGTTTGGTGGTTTATTAGTCTAAAGAATCTATTTCAAAATTTGGTTCTCAGAAATAGACATGAGGGTGGGAGGCACACGTGTTGGAGGGGGTTCTGAGGAGCTGGGGGTGGAGCTGATTAAGACACGCTGCATATATGTGGGGCTGTCGAAGAACGAGCCCAAGACAGGGTTCTCTATGTAACGTTGGCAGTCCTGGAACTAGATCTGTAGCCAGGCTGGCCTTGAACTCATAGATCTGCCTGTCTCTGCCTCCCAAGAGCTGGGATTAAAGGCTTGCACCACCATCGCCCAGGCAAGCCAAAAATATTTTTAAAAAACCAGACAATAAAAATTGATTCTCAAGTACTTTGTTATACCACACATGATCAAAATTATATTAACTTTTTCAAGTGAAAAACACATGTGAGTGGGATTTTAATGCTTTTTCTAGCCAGGCACCCCATCCTAGGACAGCAGGCAAGGAATTCCCCGAATCAGTTAACAAGTAACCAATCTCACACTGAAAACAAACAAATAGGCTGCTAAAGATATGAAAAGCCTGTACAGAAAAGCAATGTCAACAAGCGGAAAAGAGCAAGGCCTCCAATAACAAGTACAACATTTGGCTTTTCTATAGACTAACTGCTTCAGGAATCAGCCTGCTCCTGGATGAGGAGGGAGTGGCAAAGGGCCCAGGTACTGACAAGTATCCCTCGATGCCTGCTATACATAACTCTTGCTAAAAGAGCTGAAGGTTTGCTCTCAAAAGTCCACAGCAGAGAAGAACACTGAGTTCACCAAACTTTCTGGATGTTCCCTTCAGAGACCCTCCTTGAGGGGACATACCCAGCCAGGGCCCCCAAGAACTCGGGTCCCTATCTTGGGAAGGCTAGGCCACAGAGGTGCTATCCACGTAGGCCCCAGGCAGATGTGGGATTCAGGCAAGACCCTCTTGCAGGGTTTTTAAAGCTCGTTTGTGGGGTGCGGGAGGCTTCTGGGGGAGTTTGAATTCTCCATTTTACTTTTAGAAGACGAGGCAAGGCGGTATTTACAGTGTATGGAGTGAAGACGGCAAATCCCCACCTGAGGGTAACCTCTCGAGATTCTCTGAATTTTCCTGGCTGGCTCAAGGGGTCCTGCTTGTGTGGGGGAGGTACTGGACTGTCCCTCCATCCCCGTCCTATTTCCCAGGAGGGCTGCAGTCCTTGCTCAGGCGCACAGGGTGGAGGGGACAAGCAGGTCCTTCGGGAGGGGAGGGGGGGTCCAGGTGTTTGTGCTGCACATGGCAGGTCAGTGAAGCCAGCGTTAGCCGCCAGAACAAACAGCTGTCCAACATGCAGGACACACAGTGACTCCAGGCAGTTCCGAGGGGTCAACACACCAAGAGCAAAAAGTAAACAGAGAAAGGGATTGGGGCCAGGATATGCCCCCAACCAAACCAGGCGCAACACTGCATTGCTGGTTGGGCCCCTGACCAGCTCCCCCAAAGGGACAGTTCCCACTCACCCACCAGAGGCCTGAGATGCCAGGCTTTGGAGTCCCTCACAGGGTGGTTGGGGGCTCTGAGACAAGAGCTAAGAAGGAAGAGCGCGTGTGCCCGTATGTGTGTGGTGTTGTGGGGTCAGCACCGCTCTCCTTCCACTTGCACAACCGACTATGAAGACACGGCCTCACCGCTGTCCTCAGACAGGCACAAGCACGGGTGCACTCAGGTTACCACAGGCTCTTGGTCAGGGCGGCAGATACACACACACTCTTACAGGAGAGGCCCAGTGCATTCACTCTGCAAGTTGGGTAGCGTAGGCACCCCCGATCGCTCGCTCGCACAGCAACTCCATCAGGAGTGAGCATACACATCCAGTGTCCCCAGGCCAGGGCTCTGCACACACTCCACCACCTCTCAGACAGATGCATACAGACCTCCACATAAGAGCACAAACTCACAGCCTGTCAGCAACACACACAATCTGTTAGAAGCACACACGCCCTGACAGTCTTCCAGCTGGCCTGCGCGTACACGTAGGTGCACCCACAACCTGTCACACGCACCGCAAGCACACTTAAAACAGCTCCGTGTGGTGAACACACCCGAGCCCAACTTCTCGGCCGCTCATGCACACTCACATGAGCTCAGCTGGCACGCGCACCCTCGCAGCCTCCCTCTGCTCCAGGCGCACCCCACACCCACGCACCCTCCTGGCCCGGTGCACCCCTCCCCCACGCCCGTGCGGGCGCACACCGAGAACTCCG